AATGTCTACGGCCGAAACTTTAAACTTGAACATTTTTGGTTTCCCGTAGCTCGATTGTTGACTTTATTTTTCAATTTTGTTTTTGTTTTTGTCTCTGTCGACGCGTTTTGCATTGCCAAAATGATTTGGATATGCGTATTATAGCTGGTTGTTGTTGCTGGGCTCTTCATTGTTATTGTATGATTTAATTTATTGGATTTTGTTTTGGTTTTTAAAGCACAGCTGGCTGCGCTGTTGGCGTCGCAGCTAAAGTCGCATTTGGCCGTCGACGCGACTGCGCAGTTGTTGCCCCCAGTTGCTGCTCAGCTGCTGCTGCCCAGTCGCTTCTTCCGCAGTTAACAGCTGTTCGTCTGTCGGTTCAGTGGCTTGGCAGCGGCTCAGTTGTCGAGTGGTTGAGTGGCTGAATGGTGTTTGGTGGTTTTATGCAATGTTTCAGCGGTTCAAGAGCTTGGCCCCGCGTGTAAGTTCAGTTCGCGCTCTAATTACAATGAAACAAGCTGCAGCATAAAGTGTGTTGTCATCATTTTGATTTACAATTTTTAATTAACAATTTTTTTACTGCTTAGAGCTTGTAATTAAACATTTGTGCAAGAGGGGTCTCTTACATTGAAACTAATTGCATTGCCACAATGATTATGCATTAACCAAAGCATTTGCTAAGCGACCTCAAAAAGTGAATTCTGAAATACAACGAATCGAGTTATATAAATAAAAACGAAACATTTAAACACAATAAAGCAGATGAGCAAATAGTTTCATAAAGCCAGCGAGAACTAATTAAATATATATAAACATGGATAGCAGCAAACTGTTGAAAACTGTTTATGGCATCGACATTCACTTTGAAGACCTGGTCTATCAGGTCAAACAGTCGAAGCAAAAAGGTGCGTAAGACACAGACACACTCAAAAACCGCTGGAAAACTTTTCTTTCAATTTGCTATTATTTTGTTTATATACAAAATTTCCCATTTGCTTGCAGAAAAGAAATCGGTACTCAAGGGCATTTCGGGCACGTTCAAATCGGGCGAAATGACAGCTATTATGGGCCCATCTGGCGCCGGCAAATCTAGTCTTATGAACATTCTTACCGGCCTGACCAAATCTGGCGTTTCGGGCACCATTGAAATTGGCAAAGCTCGCAAATTGTGCGCCTACATCATGCAGGATGATCATTTCTATCCCTTCTTCACTGTGGAGGAGACCATGCTTCTGGCAGCAGCACTTAAGATATCCAATAAGTGTGTCAACCTCAAGGAAAAACGCATTTTGGTAAGATTGAAGGCAAAGCCAAATATTAGATTATGTTTCTAGAAACTTCCAAAAGGTAAACACGTGATTGGACGAGCTTTTAGAAACTTTAAGCTACTTGTAGTAGCATAAGGCAGTTAGTTAGTTTCTAAAACATAGCTTATGCTACTTAAATTGCTTATAAATGCTTTAGTAAGCTTTTAGGAGTGTACAAATAGATTTTATCTATAAAGACATAAGGATAAGCTAATTGAATATTAAGTTTTTAGCTTATTAGCATAGAAAGTGAACTTTCATGCATACACTTAAAATCTGTAGGAAAATCAATAATTATGAACTAATAATTTTTATTTTAAGTAAATGCTGTAAGATTTAATTCAATTTGTTCTTGAGATATCATAGAAGCATTTCAAAGTTCCTAAATATTTTTAAAGCTATAATAGAATCTTTACAAAGCTTCTGAACAGGGATAAAAGGTTTTCGACTTCAATTTTTCCTTAGTCCATTTTTAATTTAAATTTCTCCTGTTCCTTTCAGATCGATCACTTGCTAAACACATTAAAGCTAAATAAGGCAAAGCAAACGCGATGCTCAAAGCTGAGTGGTGGCCAGAAAAAGCGTCTGTCCATTGCCTTGGAGCTAATAGACAATCCAGCTGTGCTATTTTTAGATGAGCCAACAACGTAAGCAAACGCAACAACAACACGCTCAGATGTACTAACCTTGAGACTGTATCCATTCACAGTGGCCTGGACAGCTCATCCTCCTTTGATACCATACAACTGCTGCGGACGCTGGCGAACGAGGGCCGCACCATTGTGTGCACAATCCATCAGCCGTCGACCAACATTTACAATCTGTTCAACCTGATCTACGTGCTCAGTTCGGGTCAATGCACCTATCAGGGCACGCCCCAAAATACGGTGATGTTTCTGAAAACGATCGGACTCGAATGCCCCGCGTATCACAATCCAGCCGATTTCTGTGAGTAGCCCACTAATTGGAGCGCCTTTTAAGTGATCATTAAAATGTCATTCGTCACGTGGCAGTGCTGGAATGCGTGAACGGTGATTTCGATGATCACACCGAGGCCTTAACCGAATGTGCCAAGGACACGCGCTGGCGATACGATCAGCAGCTACTGCAGGATGAGGCAGAGCCCCCTACCGATGCTCAGGTGGCCAAGTTCAATGAATCGCAAACCCAAGGCCAAGCAGCGCAGCCCAAAATACAAAAGGTTGAATCAGCAAAGGAACTTATTAAGCACACCTATCCACCACCTGAATGGGTTCGCCTATGGCTGTTAATTGGACGTTGTCATCTGCAATTCTTTAGAGATTGGGTACGTACAATTTACATTCAAAAGAATATATATATCGAGCCTATCTGAGTGCAGAAAGCTTCCAAGAGACTAAAAGGTCACAGAATTCAAACACATCTTTTAAAGAATATACCAAAGACAGAGAGAGGGAAAGAGTGACACGGAGAGAGAGAGAGAAAGAAAATAGCAAAAAGAGAGAAGACAGAAGGACAGAATAAGAAAGGAGATGACAGAGACAGATAGAGAGGGAGAGAGAGAGAGAGAAATAAAGCTTGAGAGAGAGAAGACTGAGAAGGAAATCGAGAGGGTGAGAAAGATCGTGAGAGTAAAAGATGGGGAGAAAGCAAATGAGACCAAAGAGAGACACCAAACGCAAGTGAGAAAGAGAGAGGAGCAAAGAGTCCAATAAAGAGATTAAAACAAGGGAAAAACTACATATAAATCTAATTATATTTCTTGAGGATCGCATAGGAGGTCTTGCACCAACAATAACACTTTATAAACTTTATTCATATGTGTCTTGCACTAGGAATAACCTCTATTCTACGTAAGTACTTTTATGTGTACGCACATAGTATAAAGTTTATTCTTAGTAGAAGAGCTCCTATACATATGCATAAATAGCTAAGTACATATAAAATAAAGAGTTGGTTTTCCAGTTAGAAAGATTACTAATGGGTGGACATAGCGCGACCCCAAGATCATATATACACATAGGCTACGCGTTGGGCAGAGGGCATAATAATAAAAAAAACGATGCGAGACGTAATTTAATTATTAATTTTCTTTTTAATGTTTGCATTTATATATTATATTTTTTTTATTTTCCATTTTGACCAGACCTTAACATATCTGAAGCTTGGCATGCACATATTGAGTGCCGTCATGATTGGACTCTTCTTTGGCGATTCCGGCATTAATGCGACGAAACAAATATCAAATGTGGGCATGATAATGATACATTGTGTCTATCTCTGGTATACGACTATAATGCCTGGCATCTTGCGCTGTAAGTTAATCTATATATAATTCCTATACATATATATAATAATATATATTATGCTTGTAGATCCCATGGAAATTGAGATAATCAAAAAGGAAACATTTAACAATTGGTACAAGCTGAGAACCTACTACGTGGCCACCTTGATAACGTCAACGCCAGTGCATGTGAGATACATATAGATATAGATCTGATCAAGTGATATATCTTATATTCCATTCTCTTGCAGATAATCTTCTCCACGGTTTATATAACTATTGGCTATCTGATGACCGATCAGCCAGTTGAATTGGATCGCTTTGTGAAGTATTTGCTAACTGCTGTCGTTGTCACTATATGCGCAGATGGCTTGGGCGTATTCCTGGGCACCATACTAAATCCAGTGGTAAGACAAAGAGACAGCGATATCATATGATAATATATGTTTTTATATATATTTTCGATCTTTTAGAATGGCACCTTTGTTGGAGCTGTTTCGACATGCTTTATGCTCATGTTTTCGGGCTTCCTCATCCTGCTGAATCACATACCCAATGCACTGCGATTTATAGCTGCCCTTTCGCCGATGCGATACGCTCTGGAGAACATGGTCATATCATTGTATGGGAATCAGCGCGATAAGCTAGTCTGTCCATCCACCGAATTCTACTGTCATTTCAAGTATGTTGCAAATTCAAATTTGAAGGAAGTTTAACTTATTGAATTCGTTTTTATAGAAATGCGATTACGGTGCTGCGTCAATTTGGCATGGAGCAGGGCGATTTTGGCTATAACATTATGATGATTCTGGGCCAAATAACGTTGTTCAAGATTTTGGCATACTTTACGCTGAAGCACAAACTCAAATCAGTTTGATTTCGCTGCGTTGGTTGCCTAGTATTTGAGCTTAATATAAATTAAATGTGATTTTATGTTACTTATCGCTTAGTTCAAGTGAACAACCTTTTTACATCGGCGTGTGATACTTTAACTAATGCTACCTGTTGCTGTACTACATACTATTATATATGTAAAAATAGCGAATATATAGATTTTATACGGTTATATATTTTTCATATGCGTGTACACATATAGGGACTATACATATGTATATATGTCATTTAAATAAATAATTAATTAGGTCGAAGTAAGAAATTTATATGCGTACGAATAAAATGGACAAGTTAAAAAAATTATTAAAAAGAGAGATTTCTATTCTCATTGATAATGAAATTGAAAAGACTTAGTAATAATTCAAGCTTGAAATAATCAGAATGACGGGCCATTATCTAATTCAAGCCTTGAACTTTCGACAACTATTGAAGAAAAAGCTAAGAAAGCACGTATTTAAATACCATTTATCGCGCGCCATCGCCAGAGCTTTTCGTTGCAGCCCTGGCTATTTGACTTATAGTATATCGATATTTACTCGATAAAATATCACATACAGCGCTCACCACTCACAACGAAAACAGCAGCCAGCTCTAAAAGCAGCGGAGCACGAAATAAATAAATAAAAGTCGTAAACGCTGTAAAAAAAAGTTTCCTTTAGCCAATTATAGTATTTTACCACTAACAAAATGTTTCGCTCTAGTTTTGACAAAAATCTGGGTAAGTGACGCAGCGTAAAATGCCAATAAAATAAACTGAAAGATAGTGCAACAAAAAATGACTCATCGATAAAATAATGCAAAAAAAGTGTAACAAAAAAGGGGGAATGAACTTAAAACGCAAATATGATGAGCAAGAATTAGCGACTGATTAAATATCTCTTTGGTCTTTCACAGAGAATGCCACCAGCCATTTGCGCCTGGAACCTGACTGGCCCTCAATTCTTCTTATTTGCGATGAAATCAATCAAAAAGACGTCACGTAGGTGCCACGAATATATAACAAGAGAGAAACCAAGTTAATTTTCAATATTTCACATTTCAGACCCAAAAATGCTTTTGCGGCGATTAAAAAGAAAATGAATTCACCAAATCCACATTCGGCATGCTATTCGCTGCTGGTGCTCGAGAGCATTGTGAAGAACTGTGGTGCACCTGTGCATGAGGAAGTCTTCACCAAAGAGAACTGTGAGATGTTTAGCAGCTTCTTGGAGCAAACACCACATGAGAATGTGCGCCAGAAAATGTTGGAACTTGTGCAGACGTGGGCTTATGCATTTCGCTCATCAGACAAGTATCAGGCAATTAAGGTGAGCTTTAGGCTTGGGAAACTTGAAATTGCTGCGACCTTTTCAGTCGAAGGCTTTTTAATTAAATTAGGAACATGTCTTTTTGGCGAAAAAGGCAAGTTGGATATGTCTGTCTCTGTTGTCCCTTAAGTTCTTATGCTTCCCGTTTGTATGACTAGGCATACTAGAATTGAGTTTCATTTAATGAACCTTGGCAAATATCTATTTTAAATATCTAAAGGAAAGGAAACAGTTTGTCAACTTCCACATAAACTTTGTTTTCTAAACATAAGTTTTACAAGTTTCTTATGCTTTAAGTGTGGAACTTTATCAGAGAAACTTCTTTAGTTAATGCCTGCATTTAAAAGTTTTCTTAGATATAGTAGTTGACTTTGTAGTCCCCTAGCAAACCTTCATTTAGTTCAGTATCGAAGTCTCTTCTTAATGAGCCACTAAATCAGGTAACAAAGAACCTTTTTATTGAGAAACAGAAGTCAGTTATAATCACATTTAGGAATTGTAAAGTAAACTACTTACGAATTTACTCGTTTAAATATTTAATACATAACTATACGATTTGATATCGTTGACTATATAGGCACACAGTTGTTTAGCTAAGTATAGAAAGACATCTGACATATGTTATAGATATTTGTGAATAATTAATATAAAATGTGCAGGTTAACGATATTCTTTAATGAATTTCAGATTGTATTTATCTGAATTTATGATAGATACTTCGCAACTTAGCTAACAGTTCTGTCACGGTTTAGTATACTTCAAAGATTTTAATATGTTTGTTTTGAAATGTTAGTAAATTGTAAAACAGAAATTTGTAAAAATTTGCTTTCCATTTGCACAGGATACTATGACTATACTCAAGGCCAAGGGGCATACATTTCCGGAGCTGAAGGAAGCGGACGCTATGTTCACCGCCGACACGGCGCCCAACTGGGCCGATGGTAGGGTGTGCCATCGTTGTCGCGTGGAGTTCACGTTCACCAATCGCAAACATCATTGCCGAAACTGTGGCCAGGTGTTCTGTGGCCAATGCACGGCCAAGCAGTGCCCACTGCCCAAATACGGCATTGAGAAGGATGTGCGTGTCTGCGATGGCTGCTTTATGGCCCTGCAACGTCCAGCAGGTGCCAAGTCGAGTACTCGTGGTGCGGCGGACAGCGATTTGCCAGTGGAATATCTGAACAGCTCCCTTTCACAACAGGTGCAGGTTGGTTTTTCGGCATTGCTTAAGCAGCGAAATAAACTAAGAGTTTGATATGCTTTTTTATTTGCAAAGACACCTGCGCGCAAGAGCGAACAAGAGCTGAAGGAGGAGGAGGAACTGCAGCTCGCTTTGGCACTAAGTCAGTCCGAGGCGGAGCATAAGAAGCAGCCGTCGTCGGTCACTAGCTATCGCATGCAACAGCGTTCGCCCAGTCCGGAGCCGGTACAGCAGCAGTTGCCAGTCCAACAACAGCAGGAGGAAAGCAATCCGGAGCTAGCCAAGTATTTGAATCGCAGCTACTGGGAGCAGCGCAAAATAAGCGAATCCTCTTCGATGGCCAGTCCTTCGGCGCCCAGTCCGATGCCGCCTACTCCACAGCCGCAGCAGCAGCAACAGCTACTACAAACATTGCCATTGCCAAAGAACGCCGATGAGGTGCAAATTGATGAATTTGCTGCCAACATGCGCACCCAAGTGGAGATCTTTGTCAATCGCATGAAATCGAATTCGAGCCGCGGACGCAGCATTTCCAATGACTCCTCGGTGCAAACTCTGTTCATGACCCTCACTTCGCTTCACTCACAGCAGCTGACCTATATCAAGGAGATGGACGACAAGCGCATGTGGTACGAGCAGCTGCAGGATAAGCTGGCACAGATTAAGGACTCGCGTGCTGCTCTCGATGTGCTGCGACAGGAGCATGTGGAGAAGCTGCGGCGCATTGCCGAGGAACAGGAGCGTCAACGTCAACTTCAAATGGCCCAAAAGCTCGAGATTATGCGCAAGAAGAAGCAAGAGTACTTGCAATATCAGCGGCAGCTTGCATTGCAACGCATTCAGGAACAGGAGCGCGAAATGCAATTGCGCCAGGAGCAACAAAAGGCCCAATATCTAATGGGCCAAACAGCGCCTTTTCCCTATCTGCCACCCTCAGCAGTGGCTCCACACGGCTCTCCCTCGCATCAGTTGAACAACGTTTATAATCCTTACGTAGCTGCCGCTGGGTATCCAGCACCGAATGGGGTTGGTCAGTTTGCAGGCGGCATACCGCCGCCAGGCATGTATAATCCCGCCATGGCACAGCCACCACCAGCTCAGAGCATGATGATGCCGCCAGCAGGCAATATGATGCCACAACAGCCACTACCCGAAAACGCATACCCGAATCCAGCTCAGGCCATGATGTCACAGATACCACAGCAGCAACAACAGCAACAACAACAACAACAACAACAAGTACCGCACCAACCGCAACCTCAGCCCCAGCCTCAACCCCAAGTACAGCCGCAACCACATCTAGCCCATGTTATGCTACAGCAGCAGCAAATTGTGCAGTCGCATCCGCCAATTCCAAATGCCCAACTACCATTGCAACAGGCACCGCCACCGCAGGCAACAGCAGCAGCACCTCCACCACCACCAACAGCTGCTGCAGTAGAACTCTCTAATACACAAGTACAGGCTGTAGTTGCTGCACCGGCACCACCCCAAGACGAACCCGAACCAGCTGCTAAAAGCAAAGCACCCGAGCCCGCTACTGCAGAGCTGATAAGCTTCGATTAAACCACAATTGTTAATGATCTTTTTTTATTGAACGTGTTGCAGACTACCAACTTTTATTGTATTAAAAAGGGATCGAACATTATGGAAAAGTTGATATTGATAACTTATATTTACCAATTGTAATCAACCACCAAGATGAACAGAATGTCTTTGTAATCGCAGTTTCTATTAATTAATCCTTAAAAATCCTGTTCTATTAGTTGTCAATCTTATTTTGTAAACAATTTACGGAAACTTTCATTCCAGCGATTCAATTAGCCAAAAAAAATAATATGTATAATCGACAATGGATTAAATCCCCAATGAAAATGCTTTAACAGCAAAAATCATTTTTAAAATAAATAAATTTATATAATTAATCAAAAAAGCTAATTTTACAAATGTAAAGACAACACATTGCAAGTCAATTTATCGTCTAAATTTATATTCTTAATACTTATAATTTCTGCCTATATCTTGAACTGCATATTATGTCTTGGCATCTGATAATGCCGCCACTCCTGGCAGTTTCTTACCCTCAAGCAACTCTAGGGCGGCGCCGCCGCCAGTGGAGACATGCGAGACTTTGTCGCTGCCACCGAACTTCTTACAGGCTGTGGCCGTATCGCCGCCGCCAACTATTGTAGTAGCGCCCATCCCTGTGGCACAGACAACCGCATGCAGCATTTCCTTGGTGCCAACGGCAAATTTCTTGTTTTCAAAGAGACCTGGTGGGCCATTCCAGACTATGGTTTTGGCTCCAATAATGGCTGCGCTAAATAGTAGAATTGTTCTGTTACCTATATCCAGGCCCATGAGATCCTCGGGCACGCCCTGCTTTACATCTACGGTCTTAATCTCACCGAAATCCTTATCCATCTTTTTGGCGCAAATGAAATCTACGGGCAGTATTATTTGCACTTTCTTCTTTTCAGCCGTTTTCATAATATCTTTGATCATCTTAGCGCCATTTTCATCGAAGAGCGATTTGCCAATTTCCATTTTGTTGATGACCTTTAGAAATGTAAACGCCATGCCGCCACCCACAATCATCTGATCGACCTTGTCCAACAGATTATTAATCAATGGAATCTTGTCGGCTATCTTGGCTCCGCCTAGTATGGCCAAGAATGGTTTCTTTGGATTGTCCAGTGCCTTGGAAAAATACTTCAACTCCTTCTCAAGTAGAAATCCTGCTGCACGTACTTTAAAACCCTCGCCCATCATCGAGCTGTGTGCTCGATGGGCCGTGCCAAAGGCATCGTTCACATAGATATCACCAAATTTGGCCAATTTACTACGAAACTCTTTAACCTTAGCCGGATCGGCTTTAACCTTCTTTTTGTTTTCATCTTTGCTGCTGCCCGTTTCTTCGGCATAGAATCTCAGATTCTCGAGCAATAGCACAATGCCTTGTGGAGCATCCTTTAAGTATTTTAAAGCCGATTCATCTTCGCAATCGTCCACGAAGCACACTCGATGCTTCAGTAGCTTTTCCAGTTCGGTGGCAACGGGCTTCAATGAAAATTTCAAATTCTTTTTACCATTTGGACGGCCTAAATGAGAAGCCAGCACCTAGGATCGCAAGAAAATATCAGAAAATAAATATTTTGATAACCCTATTGATTGCTTACCAGTGATTTGGATTTCTTTTCCAGCAAGTATTTAATACTGGGTAGAGCCGCCTTGATGCGTTGATTGTTGGTGATTTTGCCATCCTTCATGGGCACATTGAAGTCGACACGCATAAATACCCGTTTACCAGCAACGTCCACGTCCTTCAGGCTTAACTTTTTGGGTAATTTGCCTTCATTTTCACACTGTCCCTTGTCGGCAAAATATCGTTGAATTTGTAGTTCTCCGCCAAGGCTAAGAAGTTTATTTGAATGATACCATGAATTAGTTATTAAATTTGAAAGTAGGGAATAGTTTTGGGGCAATATTTGTAACATTTCAATATCAAATTTTAAAAATATTTCCAAATAAAATTTAAAACGCCAAAGGAAAAGGTCGTTATGTCACATTTTAATACGGACATTCTGATTACGGTTTACTATAAAGCACATACTTGTTATATTAATTTTATTATTATTGTTAAAAAATATTTACATTTATTACAATTTAAAAACATTTTGCCAACTTATTCTTACTAAACTTTAGTACGCGCCTTAAGTCTTAGTTATGTCTAAACTTCATTTTATCGATAATTGTTGCTATAATATGGAGGTGTTCGATAAATTTGTTCTAAACATCTGTCTTGTCGTCTTAGTTAAGGCTAGTATGCAGAACATGCCTTACGTGCAAGATAAATGAAAGACAAATATATATAATGGCTTGTGTTAGCTTTAATATGTATTTTTAATGCCAACCAATAAATTGTATTAAATTATTTATATTATAAATATATGCAAATTAATAATCTATACTATTTTCAATTTCCAATGAGCTGCATACCTACCGCGTAATAACAACTGCTTTGTGCTGCATACCCTGCTTATCATATGTTACGAAAAAAGAGGGAACACAGCGACGCTTATTTTTATACGTATATTTTGCTTAAGTGAAGCCTAAGCAAATCTTAACATGGGTGGCGGGGATCTGGTAAGTAAAACTAAAGAATCACATCTTGGACACATATAAATCGAAAACTCGTATACATATGTTAAATAGAACTTGAAAAAATCATGGCATCCGCACACGATGAAGAATCAGGAGCGCGTTTGGAAAGCGGAACAAGCAAAGCAGGAAGAGCAACGCAAACTGGATGATCTACGCAAGGAGATCAATGAGGAGCGTGACCGTGAAGAGCTCAGGCGCATTGGAGAGAATTCAGGCGTGCTAAACAGCAACAATGGTGGTGAAGCAAAGCTCGAATGGATGTATAAAAGTAAATAAAAGTCTGCTCAATCTTCATAAAACACTAATCCTTTAAATTCTTCCAGATAGCGCAGAGCTCATCAACCGAGAAGAATATCTGCTGGGCCGCAAGATAGACAAATCATTTGAGCAGCTGCAGGCGGAGGAGAAACGACAGGAGCACAGTACGCTGGGTGTCAAACAGTCCATAAACCATGTGGAGCACGAGTGTGTGCCATTCTCGATACGTGAATATCGCAATCTGCAGTCCACTGAGCAGGTGGACATGCAGCGCAAGACAATGGAAGATCCGCTGATGCTTATCAAACAGAGAGAAATGGAATCGCGACGAAAGCTGCTGGAAAATCCGGTAAAATTAAAAGAAATCCATCGCATACTCAAGACGGAGAGAGAACAAGCTACGAAACGTAACAAAAAGTCCAAGAAGAGCAAGAAGTCTAAGAAAAAGAAGAACAAAAAAGGCAGCAGCGACGACCACAGTGATGACAGCGACAGCAACGAGGATCTGGACAGAAAGCTGGCCAAACAGATGAAAAAACTGAAAGGCGAGAGCACAAATGAAGACTTCAAGCTGGACAAACTGTTGGATGCCAAGTATCGTACGTTGACCAAGCAGCTGGATATGGCAGCCAAGCATAAAAAATCAAAGAGCAAGAAGAAGTCGAAGCGTCACAGTAGGAGCAGTAGCAGTAGCAGCACCAGCAGCAGCAGCAGCAGCAGCAGCAGTGATTCTAGCGATAGCAGTGAAGAGGAGCAGTCCAAGACAAGCAGAGGAAGACGTGACAGAAGTCGCAGCAAAGAGAGACCCGGCAGGCGTAATAGTAGCGACGATGAGCGATCAAAGAATACCAAGGAAAGTAGAGCCAGAAGCGGCAGGAGCGCAGGTGAACGAGATAAGAAGCGAAGACACGGCAGAAGCAACAGTCGCTCAAATGAAAAACCAAAGCCAATTAGAGAGAGCAGAGGACGACGTGGTCGAAGCAACAGCAGCGCAGATGAGCGATCGAAAAAGACTAAGATGAGTAAAGACAGACGTAATAGAAGCAGCAGCAGCAGAGCAGATGAGCCTTCAAAGAAGGCTAAGGAGAGTAGAGACAGACGTAATAGAAGCAGCAGCAGAGCAGATGAGCGAACCAAACAGATCAAGGAGAACAGATCCAAACATACCAATGAGAGCAGAACAAGACGTGGCAGAAGCAACAACCGCGAAAATGGCAAAGCAAAGGAAAACCAGTCTAGAGAAAAGAAGAGAAGAGCTGAGAGAAGCAACAGCAGGACAGAGGGGCGAGCAAAGGGCCAGGAGAGAGAGAACGGTAGACCGGGAGACAGACGCAGGCGCAGCAGAAGTCGCAGTTCACGCAGAGATCAACCGCAGCAGCAGCGTCATCGGAGTCGCAGCAATGATAAACAGCGGCAGCCGCGCAGGGAACACAGCAAAGAGAGACGCCGACCTAGTCCTAGACCAACTGTGGCTCCGCCTCCACGTCAGGTAGAGAAATCGAAGCCCAAGCTCAGCGAGAGTGAGCGTGAGGCGCGTCTGCGCGAGATGATGGATAATGCTACGTGGCGCGAGGCAGATCGCACCAAGGTCGTGCGCAAGCATCGTGAGGAATACGCCCGTGAGGAGGCACAAAATCAGGCGCGCGACTTCGACCAACAGTTCATCAACAAGGAGGTGAAGAAGGCCATCGATAATCAGACATCCATTGGCAATCGCATTCGTGCCAATCTCAACAACATACAACGCACCTCGGCGGCCATGGATGCGAACTTTGCTCGAAAGTAAATCCAGCTTATATTGTATTAAGCTTATAGATTCGACTCAAGATTATAAACTATAAACTTAATGTTCTTATTCTAACTTGTGTATTGTAAGCTTCTGATAGTAATTCGTATAAATTATAATTTTATATAAACCAATGTCGTTTCTAGAAAAAGTTTTTTTCTCTTTCAGTTATTGGCAATGTTTAGATATCGATCAAGTTTAGGATTGAGAAAAAAAATATAAATATAGAAGCGCAATTTTTTTTAATATATATTTTCTAGATTCGTCCGAAAGATATTTTTTATAATTAAAGAATGCAAAATTATTAAATTTCGTAAAATTTTTTTTTTTCATTTTTTCATTACAATTTATAAGTTAATGTATATTTCCTTAGTATTGACAAAAATTAAACGCGTAGATAAAGTTTTCTAATTGGCATAAACAGAAAATCCTATTGGAAATAATAAAAATATTTCAATTTATAGCAATTTCCGAACTGTAACTTATAAATTATATTTTTCTTTAAAGGCTGACATTTTAGTTATATATTAGGAACGTGTTGCAATGGTTCTCCTAATGTTATTAGCAGAGAGAGAAAGTTATCCTGAATGAAATATTTATTGATTTTCCAACTTATATGTAACTATCTTATTGGAAAGAGAATCCTCTACTGGAATTCTCACTCCAGCTAGAAGCAGTTATATAAGAACAAGTTCCCTAAACACCTTAAATGAAGAAAATCTTGGGAGTTATTTGTGTAGCTAGTTAACTTATATATTCACTTTATTATTGAACTTTGGGGCTTACGTGATAAACGGTGTCTGGCGCAGCAATGACAACATTAACATTAATAATTCAGAGAGATTGGTTGATTATGGGTATTAATTTCGGTCGCCACTTAGGCATTGGATAGAGCGGCAACGCCTGGCAGTGTCTTGCCCTCGAGCAGCTCCAGGGAGGCGCCGCCGCCGGTGGAGACGTGCGAGACGAGCGCCTCAGTGTTCCATTTGGCGCAGCAGGAGGCTGTGTCGCCGCCGCCGATGATGGAGACGGTGCCATTCTTGGTGGCTGCCACAACACCATCCATGATGGACTTGGTGCCTTTGGCAAAGTTGGGGAACTCGAACACGCCGGGTGGTCTACGTGAAAAAGCAATCGTTAGCCATAAAATGGAAGACTTCTACAAGAAGCTCAGCTTACCCGTTCCAGACAATCAGCTTGGCACGCGCGATGGGTGCAGCGAAGAGCTCACGCGTCTTGGGTCCCACATCCAAGCCCATGTGGCCATCGGGTATGCCAGCCTCCACGGTGGCCTCGCTGACGGCGGCATCTTCGGCAAACTTGTCGCCGCAGACGAAGTCGACGGGCAAATGCAGCTGAACATTGTTCTTCTTGGCCTTGTCGACCAGCTTCTGAACGATCTTGGAGCCCTCCTCGTCGAACAGGGAGCCGCCAATCTTCATGTTGTTGAGGACCTTGAGGAAAGTAAAGGCCATGCCGCCGCCAATAATCATCTCATTGACCTTGTCCAGCAAATTCTCAATGAGCTGAATCTTGTCGGCAACCTTAGCGCCGCCCAGAATGGCCAGGAAGGGATTTGGTGGTTTGTCCAGAGCTTGCGAGAAGTATTTCAACTCCTTGTTGAGCAGCAAGCCGGCTGCACGCTTCTCGAAGCCCTCGCCCATCATGGAGCTGTGGGCACGATGCGCCGTGCCGAAGGCATCGTTCACATAGACATCGCCCAGCTTGGCCAGGCTGGTGCGGAACTCCTTGACCTTGTCGGCATTGGCTTTCACCTTGGCACCGCAGGCATCCACGCCCTTGCCCTCCTCCTCCAGATAGAAGCGCACATTCTCCAGCAAAATAACGGAGCCGGCTGCGGGATCCTTGCAGGCAGCCTCCACCTCGACGCCAACACAATCATTCAGGAATATTACTTTCTGACCGAGCAACGTGGTCAGCTCCTCGGCAACGGGTGCTAACGTGTACTTCAAATTCTTGTTGCCATCGGGACGACCCAGATGGGACATGAGCACCACGGACTTGGCCTTCTTGCTAAGAGCCAACTTGATGCTGTCCACGGCGGCGACAATGCGCTGATTGCTCGTGATCTTGCCTTCCTTGATGGGCACATTGAAGTCCACACTAAGGTCAAAGAGCAGGAGGCAGAGAAAGATTGCGAAATTTTCTTTTATGCAACATTCAGCAAACGGATGACGATCACTCGGTAAGTTTATCATGTAACCTACCGCATAAGGACGCGCTTGCCCTCCAGATCCAGGCTCTCGATGCTCAGCTTATTGAACGCCATTTTGATGCTTGTCAAATTGTATCTAACAAACTTCTGGATAGAATTGGTTTGTGCGAATGCGACTTGACCCACAGCTGTGCGGCAATGTCAGCGCAAGGTCATATATTGGTAGCTTGATTAGGGTTGCCAATGCGCGCCAGATAATGCCGCAACACCAAAGCCCGCAGTAAACAGACTGTAAAAGGGTTTAAATTTAAGATGAATAAGAGTCCCATTGGATTAAAATAAAACAAAGAGCTTCAGCTGATTTGAATTGCTTCCAATTGGACTTTATCCGTTGACTCTGCATATCGCAAGCAACACTGGCAGCTGTGTTGAAGAACGCATTTGTGCAGTGCTGTAAAGCAACATGAGGACGTGTTTCATTCTGCTTGGCGGCAAATTTAAACAATCGCATGCAAATATTTTAAGGCAAATATAAAAATGAATTATAGTTCGTAAACAGCTAAGGTCAAGAAAGACGATGTAACTGACTGATGTAACTTACGTAGCTAACACATTTTCCAATACTTTCACAAATCTATTTACTTAATTACATATGTAAGTATGTGTGTATGTTAATTTGCCAAACGACTTTGTAGTCAATGAATGTGTGTGTGTGTTTTTGTAATTATGTATTGAATAAATGAATGGATGCTACATGACAACGCAGCTCTAAAGCAATTGTCCACAGTTGGTGTACATTTTTTGCTTTTTCTTCTCTCGCAACACACACACTTACACACACAAGTAGATATGAAATGACGCCAACATTTGCTCTTCGCAAATGATTCATTCATGTGCTTCTCACCCAATCGCCGGGTCGGTACAACCACCATCACCACCACCACCACCGCCACCACCACCACCACCGCCAGCACCACCACCCAACCCCGTCGTCCATCCACTCAGCCAAGCGTTCCCATTGCAGCCAAATGCATGACGCAGATGCCAACACAAAAGCGGGCAACAACACGACCACAGAGGCCTATGCGAATGCGTTGCAGTTGGACTCAGCCGGCTGCCGACGCCGATGCCGATCCCGATCTAATGCGTCAAGTGACAGTGCTGGGGAGGGTGCTTAGCACTCTTCTGCACAATCAAAGCAATCGCCAAAGAATGAAAACAATAAGCTCTGGGTATAATGATAACACATACTTGGGTCATGTATTCGATATTGAAACCAAAACCGTCAACAAGAGGCGGCAAAGTAAATTGAATATTTGCGTGTGAAATAACCGTTGACGTAGTCTCTCTCTATCTCTCTCACTCGCTCTCGCTCTTTCTCTTTCACTCACTCACTCACTCACTCTCTCTCATCGTAGGGTATTCAGCTAATCGCTGCACTCGTGTGGAAACATTAAACATTCGCACATGCTAGCAAAACGCGACTTGAGCAACCGCAACGACGTCTAAATAATAATAATTCGAGAATATAGCTTATCAGAGAACCTCTCTCAAAGACACCCAGCAGTAGTCGAAGTTGCCCTCGTTGAGTTCTACTCGCGTCAGCCAAACCAGTTCATGATTTTCAGTTCTTTTCTCGTTCACTCAAACTATTCTAAGTGAAATGAACTCTGAAATGGTTCGGCCACAGCGAATCTATCGATGCTGTACTAGACGAGGGGCACTTTACAGGGTATTATGATAAGACAGTGAACTATCTTATCTTAATAGAATAATTTCAATTATATTAAATAAGTTGCACGCAAGGCAAATGTTAAGCTATATATATCTAAATATCATAAATAACTTGCCAGTTTTTCACACTTTTCACACCTTCAGTTTCCATAGCTGAAAATGTGTGTATGCATTTAACTCATAAAGCTATTTACATCTGCACATTGAGTGCTTTGTTCTGAATAGATATTTTAAAAATGAATTTATATTATAAATATATAAGGTGGAATATAGTTCTATATCAGCAAATCTTAATAAAAATCTTGGCAATCTTATTAAGCAGCACAAATATATATATATTAAGAAAAACGCTTATAAAAGAATCGATTGCTTTGATTAACACCTTTGCGTTGCATGCTACAGCAAACAGACGCAATGTGTTTATACACTGGACAAAAAGGTTGAGTAACTAAAACACGTAAAAAAAAAACTAACATATATTAAAACGGATTTTCACTTTAAACTATATGACATGGCTATTGCTTTCTCTATCTAGACATCATTTAGCTGCGATTACCTGAGAAATGTTTTTTTTGACTACCTCTAGAAATGTTCGTCCCCGTTGCCTGAATGTAACGATTGCACCTTTCTTATCGCAATTCTCTGAAACAACAACAGTTGAGGGACTGAAATATGGGTTGTTTTTGTATTTGATTTTATTATAGTGTATATTGTTAACCTTGAAAACCCTTGGTCACACAGGGAAAACATGGAACCGAGTAAAGCGCACATCTGTCTGAGTTCTTGATTCAGAACAGTGTTCGATATATTGAAGCAAAGCTTTAAAAACTGCAAGAACAAACACTAAAAAGAGAGTCGATCTTCGAAAATGGGGTAAAAGAGAAAAAGAAAAACGAAGACGCAAATCGGCTTATCGAGAAATGTTAAGGCTCAAAAACAAAAGCAAGCAAAAGTCACAAATGTTGTTTGCCGTGGAACGACGAGTAGCTGCTGCTGCTGCTGCTGCTATTGCTGCTGCTACGCTGTTTAAATATGATAACTCAATATGATTGTTTCACGATTACAGGTGTGTTGTGTGTGGCGTGTTGGAGAGCGCTACAAACTGGTAGATGCGGCCCATAGACGACTGTCATCCAACCAACTCACGAGGAGAACGTGTCGTCGCTTTTAATTAACGTTTTGTGTGCGTCTCTCATATTATTCAGATTACAAACTATACTTACTTATTTGTTTTGCATAAAAATAGCAGAATGCGTCGACTGTGGCAGCCAGCAGCAGTAGTTCAAATAAGTAGAGAGAGCGAGGGAGCGAGAGAGAGAGAGACTAACTAAGCAACAATAGAGCAGAAGAACGTTAGCTCATTAGTCAATTCCTGAACCAGTGTGGTTCGTGTAATGAACAGAGACAGCAAATTGTCGAACCACCAAATGTGTGTGGGATCAACTGAAAGAAATGAAAGATGCAAAATGCTCACAAAAAAACACACACACACGCACAAAACTTCGAGAAACGGGGTGAACCTTGTTCATATGTAATTCACAATAATGCAAATGAATGTGCCTCTATTAACAGCGCGTTGCAATTCACAAGTTTACAAGTTAATTCAACATCTAGCTCATATTTAGAAAGAAACATATTTACATATATTTTATTCTGTTAGTTTATAAAATCTTGATGATGGGCATTAGGTATCTTTAGTCGTCCAATTGACCTGATTACTCGCATGTTTTTAGGTCCACTCTATAAATATGTTGTGGCACAAACAATAAGCCGAACACATACTGCCGCTGAGTATGCAATCCAACAGCAGAACATACACACGCCACAGACGCGCAACTGACGGCAGCGACAGAACGCCAAAGTTGCCCGGCTAGCCGCTGTCTCTGCCGCCGCCGCCGCCGTCACCGCCGTTGTCGCAGCCACTGCTGTGTACCCTCCCCGCCAACCAGACTGCCAGCCAGCTAGTTGCCCGGCTCCAAGCCCCTGCTGCCGCCACGTCAAGCAGCCCTCCATGGCACAACAGCCAACAACAACCACCAACAAGAACTGTAACGGGCAAGCCAACCGCCGCGGCCGGCAATTTTCAAATTTACCGCCAAACGTGCTGTCGACGTCGCCGTTGGCTGTGCCTGTACTCACTCACGAGCAGTAAGCGCATTTTGTATGGAATTCGTCAAGAAACCCACTCGAGGTGTCAATTTTATATTTCAGCTTGATCGCAGCAATATCAATGAGATACCAAATGAAAGAGGATTATTTGCACTAATAATTAGTATAACTATGGAACTTATCCAAACAAAGGTTTATGAGAAAGCAGCAAATATCTAAGACGCTTAAGCTGTACAAGAACACTCTGCTTGCAATCTGTAGCCGGTCCGTGTGCGATGGTAGGTTTAGTCTTGTACGAGCCGTCAACGGGTACACATATCGGTGGTCAGTCAGAAAGCAATAAAATACAAAATACTGAAAAATAATCAGACAAGGCATACAAATATACCAAATAGCGTACGCACATACGAATAATTTGTATATTTGTAGCCGATCTAAATCTGAGACTATATTATAAATATTTTATTATTTTATCAAAAAATTATTGCAAAATTATTTGTAGAATCGGTCAGCGGGCGTTATTGGTGGGTCGCTCAGACGGGGGCTGGGGCAGCGTTTGTTATTTTGTTCTCGCCTCCGCTACCTGCCTAATGTTGTTGTTGCCTTCTCTTCTCTACTTTGCTAACTGCTGCTGTACAAATGCCGCCGTGCTTTTTTGTTCAGTGTATTGCATATACGACAGAACGAGAGAGCATATAGAGAGCGTGAGAGAAAGAGAGGGGGACACTGACAGCGGCGCGCGGCTTGAGCGTGAGCGAGTGATAAGCGAGCGAACAGCAGCCGGTCCGAGCGATAGAGAGGGAGAGAGAGAAAAAACGAGAGCAAGCAGCATTCGGAAGCGTATGTGTTTGTGTGTGAGTTTGTGTGCATATGCGCTCTTGTTGTATCTGTTAAATACACAGGACGTAGCAGCATTTCAAACAGTGTGTTTGTGTGCTTCGTGCGGTGCGGTTCTCGTTTTTTCCCTCCTCGGAACAATCTATCTATTTTGCGCTAATTTTTGTCAACAACCCAAAAAATATCTTGAACACACAGCAATCAAAAAGCAAAAGCGTTGGAGTAGTATACACACAACACTTGAACGGATACTGAAATTCACGCGCGCATTAATCATTACAATTTAAGCCTACATATAACGACGCATGCTCGTTATATAACTGTACAAAAAAGATATATACAAGTTTTTCAAACAAGTTCAAAAGCAAAACAACAACAAAATGTCTGCAGCCACAGAACAACAAAATAACGGTGATGTTGCCGTAGAGAAGGTAGCCGCAGTCAGCGACAGCGATGTGAAGGAGGATCTCAAAGCCAAAGCCAAATCAGTTGCCGAGGACAAATCAGCGGCTGCCGATGCTGCTGGCGATGCAGCTGCTGCCGATAACGGCACGGCCAAGGATGGGGAGGACGGTGCCGATGCGGCAGATGCTGCTGCTGCGCCCGCCAAGGGATCCGTCAAAGGCACAAAGAGGCAAGCTGAAGTAAGTATCCAAAAAACCCCAACTCGAATATCTCTTCAAAAAGGATCTACTCTTCTATTTGAGTTCACCTCGTACAGTTTCACACAATTAGCCCTAATCAGTCGCAAGCTTCCCTTTGTATGTGTATTGTTTGTGTGTCCGCTTGTTTAATAACAAAACAAACGAACGCACTTGTCGTCGTCGTTCTTTCTCTTCTGTCGCTCTCAGCGACGCGTCATGCGTTTATCGATCGACTTATCGAACGCGTTGCTGTCCTAATCGATTAACGCTTTGCTGTTGTAGTTTTGTTTACGCGCTAAATTTGCCTTTTTTGTGCAAATGATTCATACATTTTTGTGTTACCACCGAAAGCAAATTACAAAA